AGCTTTACAAATTGTTTTAGTTAGTAATTTCATAAATGAACTAAGATCAGGTAAATAATTTTCATTAAAAATATCGTTTCCAGTTAATCCTTCAATATATTTAATTAATTCTTTAATTATGTTATTCTTTAACATAAATTCTTCTACTTCTTTACTTGATTTAAAACAATAATATAAGATTATAAAGAACTGTTTTAAACAATAAATGTTGTTTGTACTTTCACTTATTAAATTACTCATTTGTTTAACAAATAAAATAACATTTTGATTTGAACCATTTTTAATAAACCATTTACATAAATAAACTACTCTAATTCTACTTCTTTCACTTTGATTCTTTATAATACATTTTGTAATATCAATTTGTTTCATAACATCATTTGCATATATGTTCTTTCCATTTTCTTTTAATTCAATTAACAATGGATCAATTAAATCAAATAAATCTTCTCTTGATAAATTTATTATATTTAGTATAAATGTACATACAAATAAATTCATTTCACTTCCAATTGAAACTTTTAATAATTCTACATCATTATAAATTATATCACTTAACATTTCAATTCTTTCTTCTTCTATACTTGGATTTAATTTAATTCCAACTATATTTTCATTTTCTTCTTTATTGATACGTGAATAAACAAAAATATATCCTGATGATTTATTCCCTCCTCCAATTCCTGCTTCTTTTACTCTATTAAATGGTACTGAACAAACATGACTATCATTACATTCTAACCATCCTTCTTCATTTTTAATAAAACTAAAATAATGTCCAGCATTTGCACTTCCAATATGAACAATAACACCAATTAATTGATATTCTTGATTACATCCATATTGACTTAAATTAATAATTTCATTAAATGAACATTCTTCATTATTTTTAATTGTAGAGAAATGATCACTTGCAATACTAAATCTATTTAATTGTAATAATAAATATTGTGGTGCATTTTTAAGTTTATTTTGTTTTATTGCAACAATATATTTTCCATCATCTGTTTTAATCATATTTTCTCCATTAAATACTTCTTCTCTGAAAAATGATTCTAATGATAGTTCAACACTCATTCGTAAAGGAAGAAATAGTTCTCTTGATTCACTTTCATGTGTTTTTCTATATGGAACATTTTTATCAAGAGAAGAAATAACATCATCAAATTTACATGTAAAACAGTCAAATATTTGACTTCCTTTAAGTGCTTCTTCAATACAATCAAATAATAAATTTATAAAATCATTTGTATCATGTTGTATTGTTATTAAATCATTTCTATGTTTATAATTTTGAATTGATTCAATTAGTTGAATAGTAGAATAAGTTTTTTTTGATCCAATTGACATTTCTGTAAATAAAATTTGTAATTGACGAATAACTTCTATGGCAAGATCTTTGGAATAATCAATAAAGTCTTCTTCTTCTTCTTCCATTTTATTAGTAACATAAACATTATATTTATCTAAATTTCGTTTATTTTTATTTGTTAGAATAGTTATATTTTGGCTATTAGAAATAGAATTCTTTTTTAGTTTATTTGAATTAATTTTTAATTCATCACAATTAATTTCAAGAATATTATCTCTAAATATTTTCATATTGTATAATTGTTGTAAAGCAGAATTAATATAACAAGTAGCTCCATGATTATAAAATCCAACATGACCATGTCTATGTTCATCTTGTGAAGATAATTCATTTAATGGAACAATTTTTTTAGGATGTTTTTTATAAATAATGTCAATTAATGTATCAAATATATTTTGTTTATTAACTTTCATAAAATTAAAAAAATGAATAACAGCATGTCTACTTGGATAACTAACAATAGAAATATCTTCAATATATTTTTGAATTAAAGTATTTGAAATTGTTATAATTTCATTGTCTGTTAAATATTCTATAAGAATTTCTAATATTTTAATACAAAATGGTAGTCTAATTTCTTTGTGTGTAAAATTTTCATTACAAAAATTGATAATTTCTTTACAATTTTGAATTAATTGAATAACAATATTTTTATGTATTTTATGTTGTTGTAATATTTTGCTAAGTTCACAAAGAATTAAATACCATTGAGAAAGAATTGTTGATTCTTTTAATTGGTTTATAGTAAATAAATGACTTATTACTTTATTAAGAAAAGTATCAAATGTATTGTTTTTAATAAGACTTTCAATAACTAATTTACTAATTTTAGGAATAATACATTGCATTTCAATATTACTTTGATTTGATTGAATTATATTTTTTAATACTAAATATAATCTTTCTCCATCTAAAAAGTGTTCACTTCCTTCAATAGAATTAATCATTTTCATTATACTTTCTAAAATACTTAATGATTCTTGACTTCCTGCATTTTTTTCAATACAAATAACACATTTTTCTATTATTTCAAAATAATCGTTATTTGATTCTTTATTACTTTGACAATATTTCCCATAGATTTTTCCTATTAAATCTATTCCTTCAATAGAATTAATTTCATCAAGATATTTAAAAATCCATTCAATACAATAATTATTTATTTCTTCTTCTTGTTCAATTGTTTGTAAAAAATAAATTAATTCACTTCCTTTTTTTTTAATATCTTTTCCTTCTTTTAAAAGTTTTACTTCATTTTTAATAGAAATAATAGTTGGTAATCTCATTAAGATAAACCATATTATTTGTTTAATTGATTGATTTCCATTATCATAGATACTAAATAATTCTTTAATATCTTCTTGTTGAATTACAAAATCAACTAATGAATTATGTTCTACTTTTTTCTTCATAAAACTTAAATCAATCCCTTTAAATTTAATTTTGGATAAATCCTTATTCAATTCAAGTTCAATATCTTTTTTATTTTCTAATAATTGACTCATTGCTTTATCAAGTGAATGATACATTTGAAGTGCTTTAGTTGCTAGTTCATTTGAAACTTCACAAACTTCCATTAATTTATTAACATCACTTTGACTAATTTGTTCAATTGGTTTTTGATCAATTACTTGTTTAGATTTTAAGTTTGATAATTTTTCTTTTATATTAACATTAACCACATGTAATATTTCTGTTAAAGGAATATTAAGTTCTCCAAGTGTTGATTTTTTTGTTATTTTTTGTTGTGTTAATAATGTATCAATTCCATTTAATTCTGTAATTCCATTAATTTGTGATAAAATTTCTTCAATTGTACTATCTCTTTCTCCAATAACGTTATATTCTTTTCCATTATATAATACAGTATATTCTAATTTTTGTTTTCCAATACTTTGATGATGGTTTTCTTCATTTCTTAATAAAAGTTGTAATATTCTTAAATAATATATTTGTGGGTCTTCTTTAATCCAATTCATTAATGTTTTATAAGCGTCTTCTCTTTTTGCATTAAATAATATTTCTTTAAAAAATTTTTCACTTTTAACAATAGCTGTAGGTGATTGTAGATTTTTCATTATTTTTTTTAATACATTTAGCCATTCAAGACTTTCTAATGACTCTATTGTATTATAGTAGTTCTCTTTTTTCTCTAATTTATATATCTTTTCTATTAAAAGAATAATTAAATCAATTCCATTTGTACTATCAAATATACTTTTATTTTCTTCTGTAATTTTATCACTAAAAGCAACTATTTCATATTCTAATAAAACTTCATTTGGTGTATTTAAAATATTACAAAAGAATGATATAATTAAATCTTTAAATGAAATTGCTATAGTGTCAACTAATAATATCCAAAGTTCATTTATATATTCAAAACAATCTTCTATATTAATATTAATATATAACTTAATTGCTTGAAGACAATATCTTAATACTTCCATTTGAACTTCTTTACATTCTTGATATATTACTTCTTGAATTAATTGTAAAAATATTAAAATATCTATTCCATCAAAATTACATTCTTTTTCTAATGAAAGAACAATACTTTTTAAAATGAATAATAAAGAATATGTTTTTTTCCTTTTCTGAGAATTTTCTACTAATCGTTGATATAAAAGAATAAATAACTGACTTGTTCTATTCACATTAAGCGTTCCAATTGTTTGATAATTTATTTCAATTGCTTCATCTGTTAATAGACTATTAATCGTTGTAGCACATTGATCACCTCCAAGGTTTAATAACTGAACACATTCAACAGAATTTGGTTTATACATTCTTATCATTTGTTTCATTTCTTCTGTAAGAGTGACTTTATTAATAATAAAGTTTATAACAACTTTCCTAAGAGTATTATTTTTAGTCAATTCTAATAACTTCTTAAAGAAGTTAATTGGGTCTGAACTAAGTCCATGTTCAATAAATGGTATTATTTCATTAAATTCTATAACATTATTAGGTGAAAGGAATGGTTCTATTATCTCATAATCATAAATACCACAAGATTGAATTAATGACAATTGGTCAGAACGGGTATACATCCCAATGACTTCATGAAACTTTTTTTTAAACTTTAGTTTTATTGAAGGAAAGTCATTAATAATACTGAAAAACAATTTCTTTGATTCTAAAGAAACTATGCTATAATATCTAATACATAATTCAATGAAAATATTATAAAATATTTCCACTAAAATGACTTCTTCATTTCTTATAAAAGCAAAAATGATTGGAAAACTTTCATTGATATAAAAATTTGCAAATTGTTTATCAAATACATTAATATTTACATTTTCTAATTCCATTTTTAAATCTATAATTTCACTTATGTTAATGGAATCATCTCTTTCAATTTTTTTAATATGTGTTTTGATGATGTCTATGTATCTTTGACTCACATCTCCCATTTTCTATCTTCTTTTGAGTTTTTTAGTTCTTTTTCAAACATAGTAATACAAAAAACATTTTTTTTTTGTTTTATTTTATGAAGTTTGAGATTTTTTGATATGTATTTTCACGAGTAGTTTGTATTTAATTTAATAACTAGTAAAAAAATAATAAAAGAATAATAAAAAATAAATCACCAAATCGAACTAGAATAATGAAAATAAAGTGAATGAGTGAAATTAAATACAAAAAACTCACAACTAAACTTGATAAAGGATTGAATCTTTGTCTTTTTGAAACAATATTCAATTGGAGACAAGTTAATGGATTAAAACACGATGACTATACAAGATATAGAAGATTTTGTTCACGTAGAATTAAGAGAATAAGACAAAAAGTCCAATTAATCAATAAATGGGAAAAAAAACAATTTAAACAATTAAAGTTAGTTGCTGAACATATGAAAACTTCAGAATGTTTAATGATTCCTTTATTAAAAGTAGAAAGATGTTGGGCATATGCTAATGAACTTCAACCTGTTGATGAAACTGAAGCAAGAAAAGGACATCATCAAAAAAGAAGACTTCACAAAATGAAACAATATTGTGAAGAATTTATTGGATTAATGAAAGGATGTAATAAAAGAACTCAAAGAGAAATTACAGCATATAATTTATATATGAAAGGAATGGTAGCATTTGAAGATCATCAATACGAAGATGCATTAAAGTATTATTTTAAAAGCATTACTATCATTGGTTATATTGATGCAGAGATGAGTGAAGAAAGTAAAATTATCTTTAGAGATATTGTAGATGATGCCAATGCTAAAATCAGAGTTTGTAAAAGTGAAGGTACAGAAATTAAAGAAGAAGAAGAACTTAAAGAAATTGAAAAGTGGAAAGTTGTTGATGGAGAAGCTCAACTTTTCTCTATTCCTGATGATCTTATGAGAGATGTTATGAAAAAGTATAGAGATAGTAAAAATAAAGGAATTGTAGAACGAATGAACATTATCCAGAAAGCAGTAAGTCATTGTAATAAAATGATTTCTAATAAAAAAATTGCTAATAGAATGATGTATAAAGAGTTATTAGATTATGCTAGAGAAGAGAAATATAAATTAAGTGTTGCAGAAATTATTGAAAACATTAATGAATTAGAAAAGCATTTAGGACAATTTTCTCTTGGAAGTGAACATATAGACTCAAATGGAAAATTAGATATTGTTATGGCTGAATATTCTAAATTAATTTATATGGAAAAGAAAAAACCAAATCCTAAAACTTGGCAAATATCAAGTTGGCAATGCTATCAGAATTATTATCATTGTCTTTCATTATTTAACCAAAATAAATTAAAAGAAAGTTATACCCAACTAAGAGAACTTATTGATACTATCGACGAATTAACTCCTTCTGTTGAGGCTTCAGAAAGAAAAAGATTAGAAACTACTTTAACTTGCACCCATCAATTAGTTGTTGAATTGTTAAAGAGTTTATGGAAAGAAAAAACAGGAGATAAGGCTTTAATGATTGATGCTTGTTCACAATATTTAGAATATCCTTCATTAGAAAAGAAAGGATGGTTCTCATGGTGGTAATTCATTCCTTTTTAATACTTCATTCGTTTATTCTTTTTAATAATTTATTATTTCAATGACTATAATTTAATCACTGTATTTTATTTAATTCATTGAATAAATCATCCAAAATAAGAGTCATAAGAGATGAACTATAATAAAATATTTATTAATGTCTAATTCTTTCATATATAATTAGTTTATTTAATTTAATGCTATTTGTTGAGAGTTAAATAAAAGACATGAAAAACATTTAAATTTTTTGAATGAAAATAAGTAATTTATTGATGAGACTGCTCTCCGAAAATGAATAAAGGAGCAAACTCGAAAGGGTCTTGACCAGTATCACTTCTTCTAATAGGAACAGGGACAATAGGAATATTAACATTTGAAGGTTCGTGTACAATAGCTGTTTCTTTAAAAATATTATTATTATATCGGTCTTCTAATTTAACAGAACCAACGTCATTAGGTTTGAATCTTTCATTACGTTGGAGTCTAAACTCTTGAAGTGGTGTTCTATTCATTCTAGCGTTACAAGAATCAAATCTCCTTCTTACAGTAGTTAAACCATTTTCAAAGAAATCATCTCCTTCATGTATTTCTTGAACAATTTTCATTGGACTAATGCCATTTGAACGAGGGGTGTGAGGTTGTTTTAGTTGTGCACGATAAGGATTTTCTTGATTTCGTAATAATGAAGAACGTCTTCTTGTAATACGAGAACCACTTCCACTTCGTTCTCTTTTATGAATATTTTCAAATGCTTTTCTGAAAGAATCAGGAGTCATAGGGGGTAATTGGAATGGATTAGGACATGTGATATTGACAACTTCACCCATTGTAATGCAGACGTACAAATATCA